CGTGAAGCAGCTGCAGACGGAACGTGAAGCAGCTGCAGACGGAGCGTGAAGCAGCTGCAGACGGAGCGTGAAGCAGCTGCTTGTCATTCTGGCCTAGAATCCAGGTGTTTATCTACTTGCAGCAACATCAAATAAATGTAATTCAAATGAACATCTGGATTCTGTTCCTCCATCAACAAACTTCCTGTCGCGGCACCAACCAAACATCGTGTTGAAATGTTGGACCCATCGTTCTTTGGAAACACTTCTAGAAAGATGAAAAACCCGTCGGGACAAGTTTCAACGCATCTTAAAGTATCGCTGAGGCTGGTGATGTCAGATGGAGGAGCCACCATAATAATTACTATGAGTGAATGAAACATGATGTCACTTCTTTAAATAGCAGATTTTATGTTAAATCAATACTTGTAATGACATTTTGAGGTGAGACCATTAGAACTATATTATTATAAACTTTACAAACCAAAGAGAAAACGGTTGTTAAAACGATTGGAACAGATTTCGGAGCGTTTAACTCCAGCTCGTATTCTCCCTGACTGTCTACATTCACCCTCGCTGTAAAATCAGCTGGGCTTCTAAAAGAAAAACATTTTCCCATTCCAGTTTTTTATTACATTTCTAGACAGAAAATCTTTTTTTGAGTCTTTTTTTTTTTTTTGGTTCTGTTTGTGGTTAGAACAGGACAAGTATTTTCGACTGGTCTGCACAGCAGCAACAGATGAGCTTCTCTTTCTTCATACAAGTCTCCACCACGGTCACGTTCAGAAACAACCTTTCAACACTCGTAAAGTGACAGTTCAGATCTTTTAAGGTGGGGTTCTGTAGAAAGTTTATGAATCAGTATCTTACCTGTTGTAGATACAGTATCTCTTGAATGATTTCAGTTTGGAGGAATAAAGTTGAATTGTGACTGGACTGATGAGCTAAAGGCTAGTCAGAGTGAGATCAAGCAGTCTGGCCAGAGTTAGAGATTTAAACTTTATATTTCTTCAGGGTGAGATTGTTCAACTGTTACTGACATTTCATTTTCTTAAGCACGCCTTGAAGTTCTTCCACAAACCAAAGCTCCTGCTTCTGTCCTGTTTTCATGAGCTGCACCGGACCCCCTTCCTTCTCGTTAATGTGACCTTTGAACCCAGGGGAATGAAAACCTGTTGCAACCTCAGTCTTTTTTTAAGGAATGAATATGTTTGTCAGGTTTTCCAAATCCAATATCAGATCATTTAAACAAAAATATCAGTTGAATTATTTTTCAAAACATCTCATCAGTCAGAACAAACGTGTGGCACCAGGTCTGTCCTGTTTGAACCCCTGCAGCCACTGGGACTGTGTACTGGATGCTATGGGGGACTGCTGTCAACACAAAGTAAGGGACATGACGTGCTGGTCCTGACTCTGTTTGAACTGTTGCCACTCAGTCGACAGGGACGAAAACTTGAACTGCTGATCTCACCAGACAGAATCATGCTGACTGCAAGAAGCTCTGCGAGGCTAGCTTTCAAACTGACAAGAAAACGTGTGATGCTTTGGAACCAAAGCTCTTGTTAGAGCCCTACTTTCCACAGAAGCCCACTCCAAGAGATCGGATCCATCGTTCAGCATCTCCAGAAAAACTGTGAAGGAGTTTTAGACCACCTATAAATGGGAGGACATTCTGTGTGCAGTGTTATATGTTGGTGGTTTTAAAATGGAGTGTGGTGGAGGGCTGGTGCACCAACAGGCTCCTCGTGGCCTAGAACAGACTTCAGACTTCAGTTTGCTGCTGTGAGTCGGTGATGATGGTCACGCCTCGACGAACACCGTTTATACTTTCCAAACTGCTGCCGTGTTCAGAGTCCAGTCCACAAGGGGCCGACGTGTCCGAGGCAGACGACGTTCTGAGGTGCATATTTAGTGAGACAGAGTGAGTCAGATCACCATGTTCTACCTGACCCACCGAGGTGCTGAAGTCCCCATGGGGCACCTCCCCAGTGGGTATCTGATGGGAGGGGAGGTACTGGCTGGGGTGGAAGTGTGGCCGGGCGTGCTGGTGCCTTGTGCTACTGGAGTTCACAACAGTCTCCTTGGACACCGGCAGACTGGTGAGAAGTGGCGTATAAGGTTCAGGATAGTCTTCGCCCGTGGGCAGGGGAGGTGGAAATTCTTCTTCATGGGGAGGAGGATAGTCACTGTCCACATCATAGCCTCCGAGGTAGTAGTCTGATTCTAGTTCATTGGAGGCTGCTCCAGGACAAGGGGCCGAGCCGCCCTGGTCAGCGTCGGGAGCTGCCTCGTAGTTCGGCTCCTCTTCAGGGTCGGACAGTCTTGTGCTTGGCATCCAGTCGGAGGTGTCCCAGTGATAAGCTGCACAGTGAGAGGGAACAACGTTAGCAGTCCTCTTTAAAGACAACAAACTTCTGCTCAGTGTGCAGATGTGCAGCTGGCATGCATTCAGAAGGCGTAGACTCAGAAACATCAAGCCAAGTGAGGTGGAAAACAACCTGCGCAGAAAACATGCTAGCTTTCTGTAGGGTTACTGCATGCACACGTCTTCAAAGGCAGCATGCTTCACCTAGACTTCAGTCCACAAAAACATGTTCTGTGCCAAAGGATTCAATGAAACAAACACATAAACAGCAACAGTTGATCAAATTTAGGACGAGAAGGCGACAACAAGTGTATGGTAGTCCACAGCTGGAAATATGAGCGACAGAGACCATCGTTTTAATCCCTGGATTACCTTGAAAAAAACAACTTCATGTTGGTTAACATCTCCAAAACACAAAAGAATCAAACTGTCATGAGCTTGGAAAGAACCGTTCCGTGTGGTGCAGCCGGTGTCCGGTTGAGTTTTTAGGTGTTTGAATATCACAAAATACACAGAAGAGCTGGACATGAACGCTGATGGACAACTACATCGTGCAGACAAACAGCTGATGTTCTGGAGTTAGACTGGTCTTAGACATTTGTCTTGGTCACCAGTTAACGTACGCCTGTTTTCTACTGAACACCATTTGGTTCAAACACTTCATCTTAACAACAGAAAGGATGATGTGTCTCCAGCTGCTTCCAGATGACCACCAGAAACTGACATTTGATCAAACACCTCCGATATGTCCAAAAATGTTTTACAGAAGAACTCTGTTTCTTCTTGCTGATCTTTATTCTTGGTTCTTTTAATGTTTTTAGTCCTGTTTTCAGTTGAAAAGATTCAGATCTTTTAAATTAGAGCTTTGGGGGAAAGTTAAAAGTGATAAATATTCCACCTGATAGCTGTTTGGATGACGTCCCTTTGGAGAAACAGTCTAGTTCTACCAGGACTGACGAGTTAATGGCTGGTCTGAACCTGCTTCACATCAAAGCTGTTGTCTGAACTCTAAGACTTCACATTGTTCATATCAACCCTGTTTTATAAACATTTGAGTCAATGTTCATGTCACAAGTTATTTTGTGGCTCCTTGTAAGCATGGACGGGGCAGTAGCAGCTAGCAGTAGAACTTGGTGTGACACTGTGTGTAGCTTTAACTGTTTCTGAGGTTTCAGACTGGACCAGGTCAGGGAAGAGAAACTGCCTCCTCCAATTAAACACGTTTCCCCCTCAGATGAGCAATAACACCAGTAACACACTGTTTTAAACAGATTTACCAGTAAGACACCATTTTAAACAGATTTACCAGTAACACACCGTTTTAAACAGATTTACCAGTAACACACAGTTTTAAACAGATTTACCAGTAACACACCGTTTTGAACAGATTTACCAGTAACACACCATTTTGAACAGATTTACCAGTAACACCATTTTAAACAGATTTACCAGTAACACCATTTTAAAGAGATTTACCAGTAACACACGTTTTAAACAGATTTACCAGTAGCACACCATTTTAAATAGATTTACCAGTAACACACCATTTTGAACAGATTTACCAGTAACACCATTTTAAACAGATTTACCAGTAACACCATTTTAAAGAGATTTACCAGTAACACACGTTTTAAACAGATTTACCAGTAACACACCATTTTAAAGAGATTTACCAGTAACACACCATTTTGAACAGATTTACCAGTAGCACACCATTTTAAAGAGATTTACCAGTAACACACCATTTTAAAGAGATTTACCAGTAACACACCATTTTGAACAGATTTACCAGTAGCACACCATTTTGAACAGATTTACCAGTAACACCATTTTAAACAGATTCCAGACTCTGACCTGCCTGTAGGCTCAAACTTCACGCACAGGAACAAAAAGATGTTCTCACATCATCCAAGAAGGATGAAGTGAGAAGTCAGGAAGCCACGCCCACAATCCACACAAGGCAGCATGGGGGCGAGGAATAAGGTGGGTAAGATATTCAGTAAATCTACGTTATTACTGCCAGTTGGTCCAGTTGGTTCAGTTGGTCCAGTTGGTTCAGTTGGTCCAGTTGGTTCAGTTGGTTCAGTTGGTCCAGACCCTGAACTTCTTATCTTCTCACAGCACTGAACTTTTATTTGGGGAGTGGTGGCACAGAGGCTAAAGAAGACCTGCGATCAGAAAGTCACAGGTTCAACTCCCGGTACCGTCAACATCAAAATGTGGGTGGAAAAGATGGAACACCCACACCTGCCTACACCCTCGACCCATGAGCAAGGCCCTCAACCCCCAACTGTTCCCAAGAACAGGTCTCTGTTGAAAATGAGTTCTTGTGACTCAATGAGACTACCTGGATAAATAAAGGTAAATGAAAAAAAAAAAAAAAAAGTCCCATGACTTTGGTACGGGACAATCAGGGTTGAGGGTTTGAATCCTCCTCAGAGTGTGACGATCTTCTGAACAGGAAGTGTGAAATCAGGGCCAAAGTTCACGTGTAAATGTTTGAACAATTGAGTTTTTTTAAAACAGGTTTTATTTGACATGTCGGTCTGGAGAACGTTAGAGTTACCTGAAAGGACTAGATGAGTAGTTAGCATTTTGGTTTTAAACGTCATCAACTTAAAATGCCATGACCAGACCTCAACATTGATTTCTTATCCCCTAAATGAGAAGATGTAGCTACAGCGGGATCAGGGTGGGCTGACCAACCCGTGACCTAACGCATGGAAGGACGGCATGAACCCAAGAGTCAGCCGAGGTTCGGCTGAGGTCAGCAGCTGAAGGTCAGCAGCTGAAGGTCAGCATGGAGGGTGACAACTTCTGAAGAATCTGGGCCTTTCAGCTCATGGCGTCAGGAGTTGCAAAGGAGATGCAGCATCTTTGAGCAATCAATGGCTGGATTATCTTTAACTGGTTCATGAACTCTTATAACTGGTTTTCAACACTTCATCTGCATTGAGGCGAGCGTGGGGATTTAAAGGAAAAATCTTTACTTCTGTGAAAGGTTGTACAATGGAATCCTGAATCCTAGGAATGAAGTTAACATTTTACTACGTCCCTAATAAACGAGTGGACATCATTTTCACACATTCATTTTCAACCTATTAAAAACAATTTAAAAGGACATATTTCTTCTCTGCATAAAACTTTTTCTTTTTCAAGTCAGGAACAGTTTGGGACTCTGTCTCTGTAGATTAGATGTTCTGTGTGTGTCTGAAGGTAAACAACTTCTGCAGGCTGATAGCGGAGCCGTCGTATCAGAATGACCTTTTACTCAGAAAACTCGGAGGAGGTCAGAGAAACCAGGAGGACTTGTTACATCTTGTATCGTCATTATTCATCTTTTTGGATAAATCAACTCTTTTGACCACATTGTGGTTTTAAAGATGACTAATCAATGAAAAGCGTTAAAAAGTCGTTGTACACTTCTAACCACACTGTTGTTCATTTCATGAAGTGTTATGTTTTGGAGGGACAAGGTATGACAGGTCAGTCCTGGTTAAACCAGTTCCACATTTTTGTACTGGATTTTTAAGGTTACAGCTAAAACCGTTTCATGACTCTAAACTTTTTTCTATTTATTAGATTTATATACTGAATTATTATTATTGTGTTGAAGCGTCTGTCACAAATAAAATGATAGTAGCTGAGAATCTTTAAGTACATTTTAGCCCTATTCGCGCGGGATTAGTTTTACCTCGGGACCACATGTAATAAATAAATTACTCCCCAACGTCTGCTTTTTATGTGGCGCATTCGCACGGGATAACCAAAGCCTGAGATTTAGCTAAAATTTATGGACATCTTCCGGATATGATGTTAACGTGCTGCGTATCTGCTTGATTTTGCTCATTCTCTTCAGCCTTTTTTTGGGGGCGACCGTTACAGGTCAATAGGCTTTTGCTGGTCCAGGACACAAAAGGCTATTTGTGCAGCCTCCATTGCCAAAAGCAAATAAAAATGCACCCAGGAAACAAAAACAACCTAGTTACATATCTGACTCTGCCCATTTCTGTCCAAATCACAGAGATGCCTATTCACATTGGATTAGTATTACCACAGGACCTCGGAGTTCAGCAAAATATAGCAGGTAATTTGTTGGGGAATTTTTACTTTACAAATTACTGACATGGCCGATGCACACGGGATTAACAACACAGACAATTTCCGTAGTTATTACAAATAGCATGTGGTCCCTAGGTAAAACTAATCCTGTGTGAATAGGGCTGACGTCTTAATCTCTGGCATAAAAGGTGGTGGGCATTATGTATTCCTCAAGTAATGCTAGACGCTAATTTGAAAAGGTTTCTAATTTGCGTCGCTAGTAAAAATGAAAGCCGACAACTCTTAAGTGACATTCATGTGACTCCACATGAGTAAAGACTATTGAACTGGTGTCTTCTGGAAGATAGAATAGTTCAACCAAGGCTAAGCAGTGTTATTGTAGATTTCAAAGAGCACTGCACAGGATAGGTAATGGCTTCAATTTACAAGTAAGTTATGTCAATGGTCTTGCCGCTGCACACCACACTCAGCTGTGCTTTATTCATTTTTGAATTCAAATCTAAAAGTCCTTTTTTAAATTAGGGTCTGGCCTTCTGGAAGAGGAAGCAAGACGTACTGTGCACAGAAAAGCTGAAGGTGTTTCCCCCTCCACAGGAAGGCAGAAACTGATGCTGAAGGCCCCAAACCTCCCATGTATAGTTTCAAAGTAATGACAACTTCCTAACAAAGACAGCATACTCGTGAAGGTAGTATTGTGCTAGCATAGTGTGATCTTCTGGATGCACCCTGACATTGTCCATAACAGAGATGTGACTAAACGAGGCCCAGGGAGTGGTGCAACGTGGTGATATATGGTATATGCTGCTGACGTACAAAGCGTGGAAAGGGAGCAGTGGAGTGCCTCAGGGACGCAGAAAACAGCAGAAAAAACCTGTTTGGTGAGCACTAGGAAAGTACAGTAGCAGCATCATGATTGCCTTCATACTGAAGGTTC